GGGCCTATTCCATTGAATCAAAAGATACTCCTCTGCGCGATTGCTCGTACAATTACGAAATCCCAAAAATTGAGGTGCTGCTTGACAATTTCATCCTTTTCATATACTTATTTTAAGTTTTGTTCGAAACTGTTGGAAGGGAGTAAGAAGTAGAAGGCTGCTCTGATTGCTTGTCCGAAACTTCTATCGCATGCGTAGTATAGGGTTGTATAATTTTTTCATTTTTGATACCAACAATTCTAAATGTTAGGAAACCACTGTCGTTTTCGTCTCTGAGTGAACTGCAAAAGAGTTTGTGAATTTATCTGTGGATACACAGAAGTTTTGGACTCTAGAAGGAGACCCACAGTCCCAGCGCATTTCCAAAAAAGTACATAGTCGCTACAAGTTTACTGTGTAGGTGTAAATAATGTTGTTCAGTATGACATTCGTGCTTTCCTGATCGAAACGCAAGAAAAAGCAAGCACATTTGCGGTTTACATGGCTGAATCTATTTGAGGATGTCCGTAGAGGCTGATGTCTGATGCTCTGTTGTTGTTTCACATTGAAATGGTAAGTCGTTGCTCCATGAATTTTTCAATTTGATAATTGTTTTACGTTTGCTTTCTCTTTTTTTTATATTTTTCTTTTCTTTATACTCTTCTCGTAGGACCGTATAGATTTGCTATATGGCTTTTGTTGACGGTAGCCTTTGCTTACTACCCTATGTTTCCTTTTTTCTTTCAGAGTGAGTGCCCCCCCCCCCCGATCAGAGGAGCGGAGAGATGTGTTTTTCATCTAAGCGATATAAAATTTTATGGTATTTTGCGGAATGGTAACTGTTTGGGTTTGTTGCAGTTGAATCGAGGGCACACGATTTTCGACACCAGATCCCACAGGAGCACTGAATCTTGTCTCATGTCACGTCCATTTCTTCTTCGTCATCGGATCGCTGCGTCTTCTTATTGAGGAAATCAATGAAAATTTCCTTCCTCCAAACATGGTCGATTGGCGTCTTTTCACTCATATAGCTGTCCCTATCGTTGTTGTACTTTCGGACGACCTTGAAACGACGTTTTACAACCCCTTCTCCCCGCATTTCGGCGAATCGCAGCGCGTTCGCATGTAAAGTTGCTAACTTTACATAGGTGGGATACGTCGAAATTGGCCTAAAAACTTTATTATGTTTGACTGGAGAAATCTTTTGTAAAGTTGCTCACAGGAAAATATCCTTGGAGCAGCACATTCGATCCAAAGAATTTTTTTGCCCACAGTGGCTTGTCCCACCTAATGGGCTCGTCATCGCAAGGTCCTTTTGGAACCAGCTGTTTAGTATGATGTTCTTCAAAGCGTCGTGTGCCATGGAACCGATAGCTAAGATCGGTTTCTGCTTCGCCGCAGGTATCGGCTTGTGATGGCACTTCTTTATCATGCCAGTCGGCCAGTCGGTTCTC